TGTTTCTTGTGAACTTGTGGTTTTATGGCATGCGTCAGAACCCCAAGGCTCATTTTCTGCTTTGTGTAATGTCAGAAAGCAACTGCACTTGTTTCCATGGAAATCCCCAAGCTCCCTCTTCCCTTGTGTGAGATAAACACTGCACAGAAGACTGGGAGTGAGGGGGAGGGTACAGAAAGAAAAAGAAAAAATATCCTTTTGCTGATCCTTTTTCTGGTGTCAGTCTTTGCTCGAAATTGTCACTGTGTGTTTAACCATACTGTATTGTTCACACTGTTGTAGGCTAGGTGTGTTTTCCTTGAACAGAGAACTAGTGTCAATATTTGTAGAGGAAAGGACAAACATGGTAGACTGTACTTCATTGTCACAGGAAGCTGGGTCTTTTTAAAGAACTCTGACGCTTCACATGGTCTGCCTGTAGACCTCTGACACAGGATGCGGTTTGGTAAGTGAAACAGTGACAGACCAAGATAAAAATACGAAACTTGTATTGATGCATGGTTACAGGTCTGCAGCTTCTCTTGTACCTCACACGTTTTCCTCATTTTCTGTTTCATTTTAGATTCAGTATTATGAGTCTTATCTCTAATAGACAAAACCGTTGTAAAACAAGGAAGTGCGCCATCTGAAAGGCAAGTAGGAGGTCTTAAAATGAGGAACTGATATATAAGTTCTAAGCAAAATCTGAACTCTAAAGCCCACTTCCATTACATAACCAGCTGCTTGCCTTACATAATGGTGTATCTTGGTAAACCACACTGGTGCTGAACACTGGAAAGATCAGGGAATCCCACTTTTTTATGTACAAAACTTTCCTACCTTCAAGCCCCTCAAACTAAACTCTACCAATTGTAAACATGTAAATCAGACCACACTTACAGGAGACAGATCAAGTTACAGTATAAACACTGCACTCCTCCCTTAGACTGCCATTAACCAGGCCAACATCCTCTGAGTGTAAAGGATCCTTTTGGTTACTGATGAGGTTTATTATTAGAAATAGGAAATGAGTGTTTAAGCACTGGTGGACACTGATGGTCTGTTGTCCATGTCACACAGAATCCAAAATTCCCCCTGTCCTTTGTGTTTTGTGTGATGCTGATATATCACACTGTATGCAAACAAAAGACAGTTGGTGCACGTATCAGATATCATCGGCCATCTGGGAGCTGTAACTTGGCAACCAACCTGGCGACCGACTCGACCAATAAGGTAGTTAAAACACTGAAGCCCTTTCGGTTTGGTCAGTCTGAATCATAATCATGACCACAAAACATGGGATGAAAGAATACAATGGACATTTTATAAGACAAAAGATCAAATCCTAACAACAGCTGATCAGTCAATTGGAGTTCAGTACATAAATATGATATTGCTCAGCGTAAATCTAATGGGACCGCGGGAAAGAGTGCTATCTCTCTGATCTACAGGAAATGGTGGCCTACCAGAACCCAACGTGTGAAAAAAGTGTGAAGTGAGGGTTTTATGATATTAAGTTTTAGTTCAGTCTGTGACAGCTATTAGCAATTTGTCTGTAAAAGGAATGTACATAATTCTATAAACGCAGTAATTACAGGGACAATAATTCGGGACTTTATGTCCAAACTGGTTCTAAAACACTCTGTTGGGGAAACATGTTTATAGTACACAGCTCTGCTATCTTTAAACTACGTCTTTTAAACTGCCCAAACTGCTTTCCCTGATATCAGGGGTAGCAATGGAAACATTTCCCTCAGTTGTTTTGGAAACACAGATGTGGGATGATATTAAACTCCAACTTCAAACTGCTTCTTGTGGCACCATAATGTCATGTCAGGTAATCAAGCAGACACTCACTGAATATAATGCTTATTTTATGGTAAAAAAGTGACATTTGTGAGCATTTGTAAAGTAATATACTGTTCTTTCAACTAACCATCAAACTACAATCTGTGCTCTATGTGACGGAACTGAGCAGTTTGTTACAAATGCTATTAAAAATCTGGTAAATAAATGTAGGCCTATTTGAATGGCTTCATTTTCATTTTAAAATACTATATACACTCTTAAAAATAAAGGTGCTTCACGATAACATAGAAGAACCTTTTTGTCTAAATGGTTCCATAAAGAACCTTTAATATCTGAAGAACCTTTCTGTTTGACAAAAGGTTCTTTGTGGCGAAAGAAGGTTCTTCAGATTACAAAAAGGTAAGAAAGAGATGGTTCTTTAAAGAACTTTTGACATAATGGTTCTTTGTGGAACCAAAAATGGTTCTTCTATGGCATCGCTGTGAAGAACCTTTTGAAGCATCTTTATTTTTAAGAGTGTACACCCTCAGCTTGTGACAGCTGAAATGGATCTTGTGAAATGTGCGATCGCCGATCACTCTTGAGAAACTTAAAGATGAAGTAGGCTACGGAAGGACAAATATCCTAACTTTTTCAGACTACTGCAGCTTGCTCTCACGCTGCCCGTTGGTTCAGCTTAGAGCCCTGCACGGGCGTCAAATTTAGGCCCTAGCCCGGCCCGTGTCCAACAGCTTATCAGAATTACCCGTCTTTTTTCCCCCTCCTCCCAAAACAGCTTATACTACTGTTTCAGCTATTAAAATGGTTCAGTTTTGTATGTAATGGCAAAGTGATTATATTTCGTTTAGTTTTTGTTTTTTAAAGTAACGACCAAGTGGCCAGCGGCAGACAATGAGCCTATATGTTTGATCAATTGAACCTTTGACTGAATGGTTCTTTGTGGAACCAAAAATGGTTCTTCTATGGCATCGCTGTGAAGAACCTTTTGAAGCATCTTTATTTTTAAGAGTGTACACCCTCAGCTTGTGACAGCTGAAATGGATCTTGTGAAATGTGCGATCGCCGATCACTCTTGAGAAACTTAAAGATGAAGTAGGCTACGGAAGGACAAATATCCTAACTTTTTCAGACTACTGCAGCTTGCTCTCACGCTGCCCGTTGGTTCAGCTTAGAGCCCTGCACGGGCGTCAAATTTAGGCCCTAGCCCGGCCCGTGTCCAACAGCTTATCAGAATTACCCGTCTTTTTTCCGGATGTCTAAAATATTAAAATAAGGAGAAGCCTAAAACAGGCCCGAGGACCAGCCCACGTCTGAACTACGACTTGAAAATTGTCCCGAAGCTCAGCCCAAGGGGCGTAAAAAAGTCGGGGCCCGTCGGGCCCGGGCTGAAATGCAGGGCTCTAGTTTGTCTACATCAGAAATAAGTTTCTCAGTTATGAGGAGAATAAGAAACTGGCTCTGATCTAGCACAGAACGATTTGACTGAAAATTTATCTGAAGAGATTAAAGAAAAATAGTGGTAATCTACGCAATTCGGAAAAATTTACTCTTTGTACAGCAGTAGTTATTGTTCATTCTAAATGTATTTTTAATGTAGAATATGTGTTATACAAATACATGAAATGTAGAACATATTAAAAAAAAAAGTGCTTGTGGCTCGTCTGCCAGTGGGTGCCCCCCACGCATAAAAGTGAAACTCCGCCTAGGATCTTCACATATCTTTTAAAACCATAATGCTGGTGACCGTAAATGACGAAAGTTGACGCTAACACAAGGGTGACTCGTTTGTGGGAAAAAGGACAACTGCGTGCACACTGCATTTTGGTTTTGACCTCTTTGATCTTCGTTGCATCTCAACAGGAAGTGGTGGTCACTCTGTACGTGATGCGACAGAAGGTCTCATGGCAGGCGCTTCAGCCCGTGTGACCTATTTAAGTTTATGATTGTGCTGACCTGATTATTTTTGTACACTGTTCTTTATTGTTTAAATATTGGAATCATCAATCTGTTGTGAGTTGTGCTGCTCTGAAGGGAACTTTTAGGCCTGAGCTGTGAGAACTTCTGCACCTTTCTTTCCTGCAAACATCACAAAGAGATCATTGAGATCTCAGATAGTTGAGTCAGATCAGAGGCCTCAGTTTGCTTTGGGTTTTTGTAGAAGAGTGAAAAAGATGAGGAAGGGGCTTCAGAGAAGAGCTGAAAACCACAGCGATGATTAGACTGTAACATGGTTTATCATTCAGATTGTACAGTTTGCACTGCACTGCATGCTTTAACTACAGATGTGTATGAATTATGTTTAGTAGGCTTAGCAAATGAAGTCCAATAAATTAAGTGAACGCTTCAAAGAATTATTATTGTGTATGTGCAACTTTTAACCACCTCAATAAATGTATTGTTATTATAAATCTAGGTCAGGGTATTGTACTTGTAAGTTGTGTACCAAAGTGTGGTTTGTACCAGTGGAATATGCAACCTGTGCACAACAATAATTTCTAGAGATGGATGCGTGGTGGTGTGTGCATAATGCGGTACCAGTGCATGGTGTAGGTGGATGAGGCGCTTCTGATGGCCTGATCTTAATACTGCCTCTTCTCACTTAGCAAAAGCTGTAGCAGAGGCAAATACTAAAGTTTAAAGAGTACATCAAGCATATGTTAGTTGCAATACAATCATGTCGATATGTTCCAAAAAACCTTGCTGGTCCAAGATGTTCTACAACATGAGTGCCCAAACTCAGTCCTGGAGGGCCGGTGTCCTGCAGAGTTTAGCTCCAACTTACCTCAACACACCTGCCTTTAAGTTTCTAGTATGCCTAGTAAGAGTTGATTAACTGGTTCAGGTGTGTTTAATTGGGGTTGGAGCTATACTCTTCAGGACACCGGCCCTCCAGGACCGAGTTTGGGCACCCCTGTTCTACAAGCTTGAACCAGCCCCCAACCAATTTTATTCCAAAACACAGTAACAGTTTTCAAGGTCAAAGAGAGTGAACTATATTCTATAAAACAGAACAGAACAAAAAGATAATAATAGGCCAATAATAGTTCATAATATTTATAATTTGAAAACTGCACAAATTTTCACATAAATTAAACTGGGATAGTTTTCCTCAAAAATTAGCCTATATAGTTTAACTCAAAAACTCGCCTGAATCGCAAAACAGACAGTACAAAATACACAGAAGCCTATAATGTAAACTACTTCACTCTGTTATAGTCAGGGCGGGACTAAAAACAGTGAGGTCGACTCAAACGCACTGCATATGAAAACTTTTTTCCTTTTTAATTCGTAGTTTCGTCAAGAAAAATATTTCTTAATCAACGATTTGATTAAATCGTGTAAATTAATCTGTATATTTTAGTCGTTTGAATGCGTTTGGATCCGCGTCAGATCGGGTTCCTGTCTTTTGTCCATCGAACACGGTTCTTGTATAACACATCATGTGGAATTCAGTTATCTTTAGGACAAAATGAGGATTACTATTAGTAAAACAACGTTCTTATGTCTCTTCCTGTTGGCTATGGATGGTAAGTGTTCTACTGTGTCACTTCGTCTTCAGTCTTTTATGTTTAAAACATAAAGATGAAATGTATTCGCTTATTCTCCTTTAGATAGCGCTGCATCATCTATCTGCTCCTTTGTCATATAATAACACGTTAGAGATTGTGACCAAAACCAAAGGTTAGGATTAAATGTGAGAATTTCTGTGAGTTTAAAAAATATGGGATGGATTAGGTTTGCCCACCAAACAATCTACGTACGTAACGTAGCCTAGTAGATTAGCTTTGATGGAAGTTGCGCTCAACTGCTGGATCAGCCATTTGGGAATCTTAAACCATTGGGAAACTATAAGAGCGCAACATTCTTTGTCCTTTAAATGTTGCACACATACGTATCTAAACTTCAACAGGATCACAAAGGGAGCACTAATCTCCACGAGAGAACTTTAAACCGACACAGTTTAACATAACCAATTAACACTAAACATAATTATAACCCAGAATTATAAATAACAATTATTAACATTCCCAATAAGCACCCGCCCTTGCACGCACAGTACGTAATATTCTGCCATATCCAGTGGCTGTTTTTGTTTAGTTTGTAATTGTTTTGTTGATTTTATTTGCCAGTGTATAACCATTCAAAACTCGATAAACGTAAGAATAATTCTTATTTAGAGGTGGACACTAACTACTGTAAGGACTGTAAGAAATTTTAACAGAAAAAGAAAATGAAAGCGTAAAAACGTGAGTGTTTTATGTTGCATTTTATGTTATTTTGTTCATGTTAAATGTGTGTTTAGTCTTTCATTTCACTTTTTGCTTATGTTAACATTATACAATTTATTTGCATACACAGGGAATAGTAAAATATAATTTTGTTCCTGCAATTCTAAAATTACAGTATCACTTTAAATTATTAGTATTGCTATTACTAGTAAATTCTATTTATAAATGTCTTCTTCTTTTTGTAAACCTTCATTACAATTAATTTTGCAAAACTGTTTCTGAATGTGTTTCAGGTGTGTTTGCTGGTGATACAGATGTAATTAAGTCAGTATCAGTGACTGAGGGAGATTCTGTCACTCTAAACACTGATGTTACTAAAGTACAGAGAGATGATCAGATACTGTGGATGTTTGGACCTAAAGAAACTCGTATAGCTGAAATCTATAAACACAGCATTGATATGTTCAGCAGTAATGGGACATTTGGAGACAGACTGCAGTTGGACTCTTTCACTGGATCTCTGACCATCAGAAACATCAGAAGCACAGACTCTGGACTTTATAAACGACAGATCCGGAGCGACAGAGGGAACTCGGACAAGACATTCAATGCTACTGTCTATGGTAAGACAAATATGACTAAAAAACATAGAATGTGTATAAATGGACATGAACCTTATTACTGGACTGGTAGTGAATCGGGAATATGACAGCTCTAAAAATGTTGCAATTTGTTGAAGTTTGTTGAAATTACAATTTATTTCTCAACTACTTGTATTTTACGCTAGCAAATTATAACACATTTAAACCCAATTAATCTTTTTTTTTAACTAATATTTGATGTTATGTATGCTGTCGTGTTTTTGTAATGTAAACTTATATTGAGCTTTAGTTTGTAATTGGTTCAGTTCCTGTTTCCTATCTGTCGTTCCCAAATTATGTACACCTGTGTCTTAATTTACACTTTGTGTATATAGCTGTGTGTTTCCTTGTGCTTTGTGGGCCTTTTCACAAGCCATGGTGATAATGTTGTGTAGCTCAATTTTGATTTCCGTGTTTTGGATGTTTTGATTATTGCTCTGTTTCATCTGCATTTGGATCATGCTGTCCCTAATGTCTGAGTTTGCCCACATTCCAAAAATACGCTTATTTCATTTACATGTTTTTCAGCTCGTCTGCCTGTTCCTGTCATCACCAGAAACTCTTCAAACTGTTTTTCATCATCATCATCATCATCAGGATCATCAGTGTCCAGTTGTGTGCTGCTGTGTTCAGCTGTGAATGTGAGTGATGTGACTCTCTCCTGGTACAAAGGAAACAGTTTATTGTCCAGCATCAGTGTGTCTGATCTCAGCATCAGTCTCTCTCTACCTCTGGAGGTGGAATATCAGGAGAAAAACACCTACAGCTGTGTGCTCAACAATCCCATCAGCAACCAGACCAGACATCTGGACATTACTCAACTCTGTCACACACGTCCAGGTAGCGCTCATCAGTGATCTGTCTTTTAATGTAACAATGTAAAGGTATGTCCACATAGGTGTTTTTTTTTTTTGTTTTTTTTTACTAAGCTAAATAGCTTTTTTTGATACTTTGGTACTTTTATATATAAATCAGTACTTTAGTTCAGACCATTTTTGTTAATTATACCAACAACTTACAGTAGTGCTGTAGGGTAGTGCAAGATAAAAAAATGAAGGCATGACTGCATATTTATATACTGGAAGTCAAAATGAAAATTTATTTAAAGGGTATTCTGTACAATGAATGTAAATTTAATTCCTTTTCTGCCTTCATATCACTGCTGTTCCATAACTAGTATTTCTATTTCTTCTTTAAAGGCACAGGTGAATGATAATTGTTGTTTTTCCTCTTTCAATTTCAGATTGCCATTCACCATGGCTTGTTGCAGCATTAACATTTGCGGTAGTACTGGCTATGCTAGCAATTGTGATGGGCTGTCTTTACAGGAAATACAGAACATCAAGGCCAAAAGGCAGGTCTTATCTTAAGCTAATGCAACAAGCATATGTGCATTCATGTTTTTATGATTGCTATTAATGATTTTTTTATTTTTATTTTTTTCTTTACTGCACATGCAGCTGAAACGGTTCAGACAGACGACATTGAGCTAGCTTATGCCGAAACAAAATTTTTACCTAATGTACAAAACAAGGTATGACTCCCATGGGCATGTTCACTTTTACACCAGATAAAAATTATAATTTGTTTTGCTGTGTTTTAAAAAAACAACTAAAGTTTTTAAAAGTTTGCATGTAGCTATGGCAGTATACTTTTACTGGAATAGTTCTGTAACGCATTAGTAGCACATTAATCAGAAGACAATGCTTTTCTTCCTTGTGACTTTGCCAGCTTCTGGTATGACGAACTGAGGTTTTCAGTAGTGCGATTACTCTGGAATGATCAAAGCATAGAATTTTTTCAGCTATACATCTCAACAATAGCATCCACTAAATACTAGATACATGTGAACTGTCTTTTAACTTTTAAAATGTGTTTCAAAGTAAGAACTGATTGCTATACAGAAAATTATAGAAATGCTATAAAAATGAGCCTCCTGGTTTTTGTCTTGAGACTTATCTTCTGTCTGTGTTGTCCTACAGAAGCCTAATGGGACAGAAGAGACCATATACTCCACCGTCAATGGACACTGATCGAACATGCAGCAGTCTCTCATTTCACCACAATGGCTTTGCACACCTGCATCTGTCAGCATTACAACACTTGATTGAGGAGAAAGAAACCTGATTTGCGCTTGATTTTCTTTGCTTTTAACAAAAGAAAATGTTTTAAAGAACTTTGGGGTCCAAACAACATTGGGCCACATTCACTCTTATTGTGTATAAAAAAAAATATTGTATAAAGACATTTTTCAAAATATCTTCATATATCATATAGGCTTGGTATGACATGATAAGTAAATGATGACAATAAATTGATTGGATTGTGGCAGAACCAGCATGTCTAATATATAGGAAACGAAAGACTGAAGAACTAGTTCAACATTGGCCCGTTTTTTTTTATATTTTTATTTTTTGCATATCCAAATTCCCCTCTAACAAATCTACATTCTGCATGGAGATGACACAGCAGAGTTAAAATGACCATTAAAAACAAATGACTTAAAGAGAACGATTACTTCATTATTGTACAAAAGTGCAGTATGTGATACATTAAGATCAGAAACTTCATGAATGTCATGTTTATGTTCTCTCAGCTAGTCTGATACTCAAAAAAATGGCAGTTATTCATGTCCTCAGGGTTCTTAAGTAAAGCCACAAGACTCCACCCCAACCCCTGCTGTCCTTCCCGTAATTCTTACCTTTCTGCTCTGTATCATAGCACTGCAAGTCATTACATGTCTCATCATACATACACTGTTGCTTCACACTCACAGGCGTTTTGACCGAGCTCTGTGCTGGCTTGATAAACTTTTTTTCTTTTTGTTTGCCTGTTTTCAATTTTTATTATCACCAGCATTAACAGCTGGTTATTTTCAAGACGAATGAATGTGAATTTCTAAACTGTGGATTGAAATTGACAATGATCCTCAAATTACATTGGTGTTTGTTTGTTGATTCTTTAGGTCAGCGACTTTCAAGTGTGGGCAATGAAATTTGGGAGGAAAAAAATGTAAATGCCAATTTTTAGATGAACTCTTTGTGTTTATGTTTGTAAGTCGCACTGACAGACGGTTTAAAGGGGCAGGTACAAAACTGAAAACCACTATTAGAAAACTTTTGTACCTGCTATGGGAGCTTGACATTGCATTTAAGACTGCAGTCTTGCATACAGCGTAATTGATGGTTTAATGAAACAAGAATTTTGGTAGACTACATAGAAGCACGTTTGCCATATTTTATTTACATTGGGAAGTGCACATGAATTTGATTGAACAATTATGAGTTACTGCCACCTGATGGCCATAGGAGAGAATCGCGTCAGTGAGGTTGTGATGGTAGCTTTTTCTTTTTCCAATCCGTTCTAGACCTGACATAACAAACAAGTAGAGCAACAGCGGCCACGCCCACCACAGCATAAATCAGGGATGGAGTCACACTCACAGAATTGCCATAAAAGCCTGGAGAAAGAAAAAAATGGAGGAATCAAATGGTTGTTTTTAAAACTCTTCTGCTCATTAAATTATGTTTGAATGGAAAAAAAAATGGATTGTTCCAACTCTGAATTTTCATATTTTGCAGGGACAGTGCCCACTTAAATTGGCACGAAAGAACAAGCAGCAGTGCCTGAGTGTGTGTGTGTGTGTGTGTGTGTGTGTGTGTGTTGACCAATAGAGGGCACCAGTTGCTTCATCTTGTAATGATTGGTTGCTCGCACTATTATTTTTGTCAATTGAAAACTCAACCAGGGTGAACCAACAAACGGGTTTTAAACTGCTTTAGAAATTAAATAAATTACATTATTTTTAATTTTGGGTGAATTGTTAAAAGACAGATCACTGATGAGCGCTACCTGTACATGTGTGACAGAGTTGACTGATGTCCAGATGTCTGGTCTGGTTACTGATGGAATTGTTGAGCACACAGCTGTAGGTGTTTTTATCCTGATATTCCACCTCCAGAGGTAGAGAGAGACTGATGCTGCGATCAGACACACTGATGCTGGACAATAAACTGTTTCCTTTGTACCAGGAGAGAGTCACATGACTCACATTCACAGCTGAACACAGCAGCACACAACTGGACACTGATGATCCTGATGATGATGATGATGATGATGATGAAAAACAGTTTGAAGAGTTTCTGGTGATGACAGGAACAGGCAGACGAGCTGAGAAACATGTAAATTAAATAAGCATATTTTTGGAATGTGGGCAAACTCAGACATTAGGGACAGCATGATCCAAATGCAGATGAAACAGAGCAATAATCAAAATATCCAAAACATGGAAATCAGAATTGAGCTACACAACATTATCACCATGGATTAAGTTCACATTACAAAAACAGAAAAACAGCATACATAATAAAGGCTGCATTAAATATTCGTTTTTAAAAAAGATGAATTCATTCAGTATTAAGAAAGGGCAATGGTTTATAGTTTATTGGGCGAAAGAATCAAATGGTTAGGAAATGCATAAAACTTTTAACAAACCTTCATTTTTAGAGCTGTCATATTCCTGATTCATTACCAGTCCAATAATAAGCTTCATATCCATTTATACATATTCTAAGTCATATTTGTCTTACCATAGACAGTAACATTGAATGTCTTGTCCGAGTTCCCTCTGTCGCTCCGGATCTGTCGTTTATAAAGTCCAGAGTCTGTGCTTCTGATGTTTCTGATGGTCAGAGATCCAGTGAAAGAGTCCAACTGCAGTCTGTCTCCAAATGTCTCATTACTGCTAAACATATCAATCATCTGTTTATAGAGTTCAGCTATTCGATTCTCTTTAGGTCCAAACATCCACAGTATCTGATCATCTCTCTGTACTTCAGTAACATCAGTGTGTAGAGTGACAGAATCTCCCTCAGTTACTGACACTGACTTCATTACATCTGTATCACCACCAAACACATCTGAAACACATTCAGAAACAGTTTTCCCAGAATAATTGTAATGAAGGAGGATTACAAATAGAAGGAGCCATTTAGAATTTACTAATATTAATAGTATTACTAATAATACTAATAATTTCAAAATGATATTGTATTTTTTTTTCATTAGAATTACAGGAGCAAAACTATATTTTACAATTCCATGTACATGTAAATAAATTATATAATGTTAACATACCAACCTATTTGGATTTTTTTTTCAGGGTACAGACTTAAATAACACACTAAGCATGAACTAAATAACATAAAATGCAACATAAAACACTTATATGAACATGACTGATAAAAAAGAAAGAAACGAAATAAATCTACGGAGTTCCCTTTGCCCCATAACTAATATTGTTTACTTAATGTATTTCTTTTTAATCATACTGTATATTGTAAGGTAACATTATAGCCAACCAACCATTTATTGTTCTGTTAAAATTACTTTAATTTAATTAATTTTTTACAGTATACTATTCTTAACTTCTGAAGAAATTAACCTATTTTTTTTATAGTTTTATTCAGTTTCCTATGATTATACACGGGCAAATACAACTAAAAAACTATTACAAAACAAAAACAGCCACTGGATACTGCAGAATATGCAGAGTCGACTGTACTTATTGGGAATGTTGATTGTTATTTATAATACATGGTTATAATTATGTTTAGTGTTAATTAATTGTGTCAATTAAAGCTACCCTCGTGGAGATTACTACTTTCTTTGTGATCCTGTAAACGTTAGATAGCCTATACGTATGTGCGCGACAAAGAATGTTGCTGAAAGAATCTTTAAAGTTTCTATAGAAAGATTGCCAATGGCTGATCCAACATTTGGGCGCAACTTCCATTAAAGCTAATTTGCTACGTTATGTACGTTGTTTGTTTGGTAGGCAAGCCTACTGGTTGATCCCATACCTGATAAACCCACAGAAATTCGCACTTGTTTTTGGTCACAATCTATAACGTTATGTGTTAAAGGTGCAGACAGAGGATGATGCAGCGGAGAATAAGCGAATAAATATCATATTTCTGTTTTAAACCCAACAGACTAAAGTCGAAGCGACACAGTTAAAACACTTACCATCCATGACCAACAGGAAGAGACATAAAAACGTTGTTTTACAAATAATAATCCTCATTTTGTCCTAAAGATAATTGAATTCCATGATGTGTTTTACGAGAACCGTCAAGTGTCCGATGGACAAAAGACAGGAACACGGATCTAACGCATTCAAACCGACCAGCGTCTACACACTTAATTTGCCTGATTTCATCAAATCGATAATTAAGAAAACTTTCTTCACGAACCTACAAATTAAAAAGAAAAAAGGTTTCACATGCAGTGCGTTTGAGGCGACCTCACTGTTTTTAGTCCCGCCCTTGACTATTACTGAGTGAAGTAGTTTTCTGGTACATTATAGGCTACTGTGTATTTTGTACTGTCATTTTTTGCGATTTGAATATTATTAACGTCTTAAGATTTTGTTCATTCTGTCTTTTAACTGGAAAATGGTTTCTGTGTTTTGGAATAAATATGGTTGGAGGCAGGTCCAAGCTTGTAGATAATCTTGGACCAGCAAGAAACCAGCTACACTCTTAAAAATAAAGGTGCTTCAAAAGGTACTTCAAGCGATGCCATAGAAGAACCATTTTTGGTTCCACAACGAACCATTCAGTCAAAGGTTATTTAAAGAACCATCTCTTTTATACCTTTTTATAATCTGAAGAACCTTCTTTCGCCGCAAAGGACCTTTTGTAAAACAGAAAGGTTCTTCAGATGTTAAAGGTTCTTTATGGAACCATTTAGACAAAAAGGTTCTTCTATGGCATCGTAAGCACCTTTATTTTTTAAAAGTGTGGTCATACAAGCTTAGGTTGTTTTTTTGGAACATATTGGTATGATTGTGTTGCACATAACATATGCTTAATGCACTTTAGAAATTTTAGTATTTGCCTCTCCTAGAGCTTTTGTTAACGTATATAAGTCAGTATTAAGATCAGGCCATCAGAAACACCTCATCCACCTACACCTTGCACCGGTACCGCATATGCACACACCACCACGCATCCATCTCTCAAACTCATTGTGCACAGGTTGCACATTCCACTGGTGCAAACCACACTTCGATACACAACTTGGAGGTACAATACCCTGACCTAGATTTATAATAACAATACATTTATTGAGATGGTTAAACTAATTGCACATACACAATAAAAATTATTTGAAGCATTCGCTTAATTTATTGGACTTTATTTGCTAACTCTACTAAACGCAATTCATACACATTTGTAGTTAAACCCTGCAGTGCAATGCAAAGTCTACAATCTGAATGATAAACCATGTTACAGTCTAATCATCACTGTGGTTTTCAGCTCTTCTCTTCTCTGAACCCAAAGCCCTTCCTCATCTTTTTCACTCTTCTACAAAAACCCAAAGCAAACTGAGGCCTCTGATCTGACTCAACTATCTGAGATCAATAAACTTTTTGTGATGTTTGCAAGAAAAAAAAATGCAGAAGTTCTCACAGTTCAGGCCTAAAAGTCCCCATCAGAGCAGCGCAACTCGCATCAGATTGTTAATTCTGATAAATATTAAAACAATAAAAACAGTGTACAAAAATAATCAGATTAGCACAATCATAAGCTTAATTAGGTCACTCGGGCTGAAGCGCCTGCCATGAGACCGTCTGCTGCATCACCTTCAGAGTGACCACCACTTCCTGTTGAGGTCAAAACCAAAATGCAGTGTGCATGCAGTTGTTGTTTTTTTTCACACAAACTAGTCACCCTTATGTGTAAGCGTCAACTTTCGGCATTTACAGTCACCAACGTTGTGATTGTATAATGAATGATATCTTTATTTCAGACTCAAAAAGGTCCATATAAAATAAAAAAGCATACAAAAACAACATACAACATGGATAACAACAACAACAAATAACAAAAAAATAATTTACATCTAATGTCCATATAAGCACTTTCTCCAGTGCCTCCAAAGTGCAGAGGTGTACCTAACAGTACTCTTATCCAAGATCACAATAATTTCATTTTTAGAGGCCTCAAGTCGCTTTATAAATTTATACACAAAGTTTCTGATAACAGCACATAACATAGGCACCTGATTCTGAACAAAAAGCTGACTGGCACTTGTACACCGAGGGACTTTTAATAAAAGTCGCAATGCATCATTATATGCAACCTGCAACTTGTTAAATTTAGCTTTACTGTAACTGCACCACAAGTGGGCAGTATACAGTGGAGTGCAATAGGCTTTAAACAAAGCTATTTTGACATCATCAGTACACATGCTAAATTTACGAACAAGCATGTTAGCTTGTGCATACAATTTACAATACTGTCTCTGAATGTCATCATCGTCACAAAGGTCACTTCTAATGATGTGACCAAGATATTTGACCTTATTCACCACAGATAACTCCTGTCCAGCCAAATAAAAAGAGGGGAACACGGCCTTACGGTCCTCCTTTGTCCTCACTATTATAACAACACTCTTTTTGATGTTAAACTTTAAATCATATTGCTCACCGTAGTCAGAGCAGACTCTAAGCAACTGTTGCAGCCCAGCAGAGTAAGGTGACATTACGACTAGGTCATCTGCATACAGTAGATGTTTCAAAAGTCTTTCTTCCACCATG